AATGTGCTTCACCAGTGCTTTTACACATTAATCCAGAGACTTCAATCTTATTCATATTGACCAATAATCTCTAATTTGCCTGAAGGAGCTTTACAGTGTGTCAGCATGTGAAACCCTCCATCTTTAGAGACCTCTGTTTGTTAAGTGACATGTGAGGCTTCTTAAAATCACATCTGTATTGATGTGAAGCCTCTACAGTGTAAGTATTTGACATTTAATCAATAATGAAAATGATTGTCTTGTATTTCTTTTCTCTCTGTTTATTGATTCCTCTTTTTTTATTGTTGGATTTCTGTGGTGTGACAGCGACAGGTGCAGCAGTCAGTTCCAGGCAGCTGATTTATACTCAGTGACAAACTGATGTGACGGCTGCCTTACATGAGAATTATTGCCCATCTAAACTTTCATGTGAAATGATTCAGTAATATGAGGTTAAACTGTAAACGCCGTCGTCTCGATCACAGATCAGCGACATAAGTATTTTAATAGTCCTGCTGGACATCATTAAAGTGATCACAGACGAGCTGAGTGCTGATTGGTTGGATACGTTATTGAATTCGGATCATATCTAACAACATGTAAATATCTGATGGGAGCGAGTGTGTCGACCAAATGGTTCATGTTTAATATACGATAAACAGGATGTAACCTGAAACGAGTCTGAGTGGCGGAGGGATACAACCGCGAGGAGGTGATTCTAGCTCAGGATATATTATTATATTCTTGTTTTGTTTTTTCAGTGTAATGCAAAATATGACATATTGCATACGGAAATATTGTGATATTTGATGTTATTGAATATTTACTTACCTCGATAAATGTAGTTATTCCCTTCCATTTGATTTCTCCTTATTGAACTACTTTGTGTCATCACTGGTTGGACAATCCATCCTTGAAGTAAGGAAGTTCCTCCACTTCCTGGTTTGACCAGGTTCTTATTCAGGTTTCTACAAAACAAGTTGTCTCCTGTGAAATCCATAACAGCTGTCCCATCTCACGGCAGATCTACGTTCAGTTCGACTTTACGATGCGACCTACTTACAGCCTTCATCAGTCTGTTATGTATCTGAGTGCAGCTCTGCAGCAGTAAAACTAGCAGATATGGGCCCATTGTTCTACAGAATCAATTAAATGTACAGCCTCCGTTCTATGTTGTGACCTCGACTCTTCATATTTGAATAATTACGATGAAACAATCCAGGTCCAAAAGGCTGAGAATCCACATTGTTTTGGAGGAAACTTGACAGTTACAGCATCAGTGTCTCGCCCTCACTCAGTAATGATCTTACATCATCTATTCAGCACTTTTCTCTGCCAAGTTGGACAGGAGCTAAGCTAACTTTGAATTCTTAATGAGGAAGAGAAGCTCACACAGTTAAAAAAAACAGAGTATTCATCTGTCTGACAGCCAGAGGACCTTGGCACCTTTCTTTTATCATCCCAGCCAGTGATTCGACCCTGCAGGTCTGCAGGTAACAAGGCCACGCTCTGTCACTCTCTGATCGAGAGGTCACCATTTATACAGCCGGGCCTGCCAGGCAGCTCCACTGACAGACACACAGCTTGCTGTTTGGGTCTCAATAATTCAGATAGATTTGCCCTGGAGTACATCTACACACACACACACACACACACACACACCAGCCTCTCTCAAGGTTTCAATATATCCCCGTGCTTTTCACTCTGCATGTGATGTGGAATGATTACAGCAGCACTCTCTGTATTCTGTGAAATTTGGTGGTTTTGCATTGCAAATATGAGTAAGATCTCATGTGCTAAGTGTCTGTGCTCGGAGTGGCAGAGACCAGGCAATATATTTTCATCAGTATGAAGTGGGGGGGGGGGTCGCTGCACACAAGCTGAAAATCAGGAGCTAACTCCAAAACAAATCCTGCTGAACTTTAGATTCTGTGGGAAGAGTGAACCTGCAAAACAGACGCAGGTGTTACGATGCGTCTCACTGTGGATGTGGGAGGTTGTGACTCAGTTCAGTTCAGTTCAACATGCTTTAGTGGCTTTATTGCCAAAGCACAATGACAATCATTCAATGGAATTAAATTATCAAACAAAGAAACAAAAAAAATGTGAATTACAATTTTAATATGATAAAATACAATAGAATTATTAATAGAATTAATATAATGAATTACACACACATACAGTATGTAACATGTGCCAATATATGCATACATAAACATATACACACACATAAGGAAAAGCAGTTATCACAAAAGGTGGATAAAGACACTTGGTTTGGATATTTATAAAACTGTCTTCTGTTGTGAAGTGACATATTTAGCTTCTAACACGTTCATTTCTGTTAAAATTTTAAATTCGATTTCCATGAAGAATCGCAGCTTAATATTTGTGTTTCTTTGACAATGTGTCAGGAAATGTAGTTTTGTCTCTGCAGGTATTTAATTATTAGTTTTAATGAATAAAAAGAGGATAATTTCAGTGTTTTCCAATGTTCCTATCAGTGATAGAAACAAACAGAACACTACAATAGACAGCCAACTACTGCTGGCACTGCTGTGTGTGTGTGTGTGTGTGTGTGTGTGTGTGTGTGTGTGTGTGTGTGTGTGTGTGTGTGTGTGTGTGTGTGTGTGTGTGTATGTGTGTTGGCATGTCTGCGAGGTGGTGGATGGTGATGTGGAGGTAACTGCCAGTGATGGAGGTGGAAGAAATTTTAAAAGTTTTGTGACAAAGTAATTTACTTTAAATCTTCTAATCCTCCTTAATTCACTGTAAGAAACAAACAGAAATGTCATATTTCCATCATGTTTTACATATTGTTTTCCATCATTTGAGGTTCCACCGACACTCTTTCTTTTAATTACCTCTTCTTCTTAGTGTGCGGTGGTTTAATGGCACCCGACTGGAGAATTGGCACCACCAGCTGCTGATGTCACTGAACCAACTCTTTATATTAACATAACAGTGGCAGATGGAAAAAAAAGCTTAATTAATACGCAATTTCTTCGGCTGATTTTCTGCTAGTTTGGTTAAAACTTGTGAGACGTTTGTTGTAAGGAACCCGGACGTGATGAGGTCAGAACCTGTGGATATTCTACATTCAGGTAAAAATCCATGAGTGAACTGACTGAATAAACATTTAGGAAGTGGAGCATTAAAATTTCTCCACTTCCACTCAGTGTTAGTTGTCAGTGTTGTCAATGTGCCGAGATGTTTTTGTGGCCTAAACGGTGCTAAAGGTTCATTAAGTTTGGTCCAATTATACGTTCTGTAACAAAGCAACAGCAGAGCTGATCCTCTCAGAATGAGCATCACTTCATGCAGTTGGTCTGAACACTTCTGGATTGGTGAGTACGTAAAAGTAAGACTCATCATGTTATAAATGGAAATGACTTCATGGCCTGTCCCCGATAGGACGCTGGGACTGGACTTGGATATTTCACTTCCTGTCTTTGTCTGTGATTACCTGCCCCTCCCTGATGAGTTTCACCTGTGTTCAGGTACGCCTGTGTTTCCCTCAGTCTTCGTCACTTCGTCTGTCTCGTCTCCCTGATGTTTCCTCGAGCTCTCCTGTTTCCTCCTGAGTTTGGATTCTTTTGATTAGATCCCGTTTCAAGTAAATTCAGTCCAGGAATCCTAAACCTGTGACGAATGATTCTTTAATGAAAACAGATTTAGCATTAGCTGGTTTCTAGAACGTGTTTCATGTGCAGCATGTTCAATATTCATCATGTTTTTACCACAGACACAGAGTCAGTGGGTGAAGCTGTACTCAGATCAGATCTGTTGACAGTGTGAGAAGCTCTGGAGCTCTGCACTGCACAACAAACCACCTCCTTTGCAACTTTTTTTAATATGTTTTGTACAGTATGTAAAGCACTGTGAGGATGGTATAGTGGGTGGATGCACATACACTGCTGTTTATACACAATCTCAAACAGCTCAGGTGTTGAATAAATCAGCTGAGGTCAGCGCTGCAGATCAGAGGTTCCTGCGTGGGCTAACGCTCCAAAGCTAAATACAACAGAGAGTAAAGTGATCAGATAGAGGTACGGTGGACCCAAAGATGAGCTCAGACTCTATTTTAAGCTGAGCATCGGACAGACACACACACACACACACACACACACACACACACACATCTTCTGCCTGCTGCATGGGCCAAAGCATTAGCTAGAAACTCTCGCAGTTTGCAGCCCCTCTGGGAATTAATTACAGAGGGAAACATTTTGGGTATTCACAGTTTTTCACCATCATTATTTCAAAATCAGATGTTTCCCAGGATGGAGGTCTTGACAGCACAATGCTGATCTGTCAGTCACGGCTCGTACCCACGCACCAGGAAGGTATTTAAAGCCGCGGCGAGGGAGGTGAGGAAGATCAGTCAGTCAGGAGCTTGTGGAGCCAGAGAGGTGAAACTCAAGGCAAAGAAATTCCACATGTGACTGACACATGCTCATTAAGCTCATTGCTGTAATAACAGTTTTATCACGTCCTCTCTCCTGGATCTGAGTGTGACAGCTGGACAGTAAGAAGTTACTGTAACAGTGAACATAACACACCAGGTTCAGCCTGTCTCCGCCTGTTGGTATTTAAAGTGATAGTTCAGGTTATTTGTCGTGGGGTTGTGTGCCTTTCCTTTGGAACTACATTTTTCAACCGTTGAACTACCGTATTCCTACGCAGAAGCGCACGTACGCTTAGCTCTACCTGCCTCACACAGCCGATCTGCGGAGTAATACATTGTGCGCGTAGGTATACGGTAGTTCAACGGTTGAAAAATGTAGTTCCACAGGAAAGGCCTGTTTGACGGCAGATAAATGGGTGAAAATATTCAAAATAAAGCGTTCACTGATACTGATGTTAGTTCTTTTTCTGCGGGTGTTCAGGTGGAGGAACGTCACAGCTGTTGGTTTCTGGTCTGATTCTTTCTTAATGATTTCTTGTGAGAAGTCTTTGATTGTTCCTCTGAGCCGACTTCAGCAGCACCAGCCTTCTGCTGCTCTCAGTGACTCCTCCTCCAGGTCACTGCTGTAGCCTTTCTCCTCTGCACCAGGACCTGCCAGGTGCAGCAGCTCTACGCCCCACAGCTCTACGCTCCACAGCTCTACGCTCCACAGCTCTACGCCCCACAGCTCTACGCTCCACAGCTCTACACTTCACAGCTCTACGCCCCACAGCTCTACACTTCACAGCTCTACACTCCACAGCTCTACACTCCACAGCTCTACGCCCCACAGCTCTACGCTCCACAGCTCTACGCCCCACAGCTCTACGCCCCACAGCTCTACGCTCCACAGCTCTACGCCCCACAGCTCTACGCTCCACAGCTCTACGCTCCACAGCTCTACGCTTCACAGCTCTACGCTCCACAGCTCTACGCTCCACAGCTCTACGCTCCACAGCTCTACGCCCCACAGCTCTACGCTCCACAGCTCTACGCCCCACAGCTCTACGCCCCACAGCTCTACGCTCCACAGCTCTATGCTTCACAGCTCTACGCTCCACAGCTCTACGCTCCACAGCTCTACGCCCCACAGCTCTACACTCCACAGCTCTACACTTCACAGCTCCACACTCCACAGCTCTATACTCCACAGCTCTACACTTCACAGCTCTATACTCCACAGCTCTACGCTCCACAGCTCTACGCTCCACAGCTCTATACTCCACAGCTCTACACTTCACGGCTCTATGCGCCACAGCTCTACACTCCACAGCTCTACGCTCCACAGCTCTATGCGCCACAGCTCTATGCTCCTGGTATAAAGGCAGTGGAACAAGAAGCTAGTGGCTGCAGCTATTTACTGTATAAAAGGTCTTTCTAACAGGTCTGTAAGAGGCCACTGTGTGTGTGTGTGTGTGTGTGTGTGTGTGTGTGTGTGTGTGTGTGTGTGTGTGTGTAGCTCCATGGTAACAGTACACAGCACAGTGTGGTGTTTTATTGTTATAATAATGCCACTGTGGAGTTGCCTCTTTGCCAATCAAGTGACAACAAAATGAAAAGAATAAATCAATAAAGAGTAAAAGAGAGCACAATGGCTGCATGCAGATACGTTTGTTAGGCGCAGGCAGGTGTGTGATGTGTCCTCCAGGCTTTCAGCCGTTCTCTGTTCCTTCTCTGGATTTATTTGCCGCACACAACACCGGCACTATTCTGGTCATTTTGAATTACACGGACAAAGACACTTCCTGCTATTAATTCATCAGCTGCTCTTGATGCTGAAAATCCCATTAGTTTCCCAGATGCAAATGTCAAATAAATTTCTTAGACCGTAAATTCTCATAATAAAAATCCATGTTTTCCATTTTATTCTCTTTAATTCTCTTTTTTGAGGCAGAATCTTTGCTTGGCTGCTTTATTTAAAACATCTGCACATTAAATAAACGCCATGACATATCTCTTTTCATTTGGATGCATTTAATTAAACTGTTTTCCTAGATATGCTTGTTTTTTTGTTTTGTTTTAAATCTGCCGTTTTGCACGTTGATCTGATTTTGAAGTTGACTCAGCCAATCAGAGAGAAAGAAACACTCAGCACATTTTCACACACAGGTCAAAGTTTATTTAATTCTAACTTTATGAATAAATAATGAGCAGCTCTGTAATATCAAATTTGTCACTCTGCCATAGTGAGGCAAGCACGCTACATATTTGTCATGAGTGATGGAGCACAAGCCAGATTTTGCCAAAACACAAATATTTCTTCAGGGAAATGTAATCAGTGTTCCCGCTCTTTTCTACTGATCATTTTCCAGGACATTTCCAGTGATGATCCAGCTCCAGGAATCACACCTGCACCAACATGTTCCTGTTTGTGGAGGACAGTGATTTAAAATAAGTGCAGTCTATACTCATCTATGAAATCATCCATATAGCAACCTACTGCTAGCAACATTAGCATTGTAGCTAAAGTGGTGCCATTTAGTCTTGTATTGTACATTGTTCTGTAGCTGCATGTAGTAGTGCCAGTTTATGGGCTCTGCCTTGCTATAAAATAATGCTGTCTAACACGTCAGTCCTGCAAATATCCCACCTTCAAGCCCAACACATGCCTGGGTTCTGTGCATGCGCTAGAATGGGTCCAGATGTGGAAGTAGCATCCAACAATCGTGCTGTATATGGGCCAGATGTGGGCCGTGGAACCGGACGTATACTGGCCAGAAGACAACAAGCATGTGGCCTGGATTTATTTTGCTATCTGGGAAAATGTTTTTTTGTAACGTGACTACAGTAGCTGTGGTACAACACCCCACACCTTGCATGCACAGACTATACTGTGGATTATCTGTGTGCTTGGATGTGTTGATCCGTTTTTCTTTCCCTTGGTTTCCTCTGACACTGATCACTGCTCTGACTGCTGCTCACCTGAGGCACTGTGAAATCAGACTGAAGGAAACTGAGGTTGGATTTAAGTTCAGATGTGAGTTATCTTTATTTCTGCCATTCTCTCATCATCCTGCTTTGTTTTTAATGTTGACACATACTTATACAGAGGATGAACAACGTAACAGGGACCCTTCACAAATAACAACACACGGCCATGAATTACCACAGAGGTCAAATCCATGATGTCTGTCACTCTCTCCAGGAAATAGACAACACCACGAACCGCTGTTACTGATGGATTTATTCATCTTCTGCACTTCAGAAGAGGATTAAGGTCACATGTGAAACTTCTGTGAATACACACCACATCTCTATCTACGCATGACAACAGTGAGTAAGCTCTTGGTCATTAACTGTCAGATTCCTCTTTTGGTGAAAGTAAATTCTCTCGTTGAAACCAAGTCATGCAAACTCACATGACGTCCTCCCATGTAAAGGATAAAGTAGGTCACTGGTCATTACCGTCCAACGCAACACAGTGGAACTACTGCAGAAATAACAGCCCTGGATCCCAACAGTGACATGTATACTGACTGGATCTGCACCTTTTACGTCCAGTACCGAGGCAGGAAGTAGTGCGTTAGATAGTCAGGAGGAATGACAACAACAACAGTTTGAAACTTCACCTTGCCCATATTTTATTTGCCATAACCACAAGCTGTCCCAGTTTGCAACATTACAGTGCACAAGTTTCTACATGACCACAGGGCTCAGTGTGGTTTTGCTTCAGCCGCTGTGTGATGCTGCACCCTCCATTTCCTCCGAGGCAACCAGAAGAATCCCTGCTCTTTTCTGGAGGTCTGCCAGCCTCTAATTAACGAGAAACTTTGTGTTTTTCCCCTCAGATTTTCACAAGGCATCGTGTGCAGCTCCTGTGTTCTCATGCAGAACCAATGAGCAAAAACACAGCTTAATCAGTGAGAAACACAGGCTAATATTACTGTTACTGTAGCGCTCTGCACAGAGCCGCAAAGGCGCTCCCATCTGATTACAGCACGGCCCCGGCAGCTAATTTTGGACGCTTGGCTGAGGCGGGATCAAAACAACCTGAAACAGAGCAGCGACGGCGAGATAGCTGCGATCAAAACGATCAGCCGTGTGGATCAAAACGTTTAATCCGACCATTCTTTCCTGCAATGTAAAAATCTTTTGTTCCTCCATTTGTCTGGCACCTGCTCCTTCACACCTGGTATCCCCCCCCCCCCCCAAGGAAAAGAACTGACATGGAATACGCTGTCAGATGTAAATAAATAAATCTGAACGTGATTCAGAGTTCTTCTTTTTCATCTCCGGTTTACTAAGCAGTTTTCTTCCTCAGCACCATGGCAATAAGATTATGTCTTAAGCTTGAGCAGAGTCTTTCAAAGACGTGGCAGTTCTCTGTTTGGCAAGCCCCGGGATGTACCTTGGATCCAATGAAAGCAACTCCAAACCATTGTTGGAGCCAAGATGCCGTGATGAATCAGCGGATGTCTTGGAGAAGTTTATGTGATATTATTCTAAATTCGGGGTAGAGTGGAGGATAAACATCAAAACTCCTTTTTAATCATTTAAACTCAGAGAACCTAACACTACTGTGGTTTACACTGTTAGGTTCTCTGTTAGGTTCTCCTGTAAAAAAAAAAAAGAGGTCCACAGGTTGTCATGCTTTCACACATCTCACAGCTCACTCATTGGCATTGGCTTAGAGCCCCCCCCCCCAACCCCTGTTTTGGTCTGGCAGACGCCTGGCTTCAAGCTAGAATGGTTGACAGAGGTAGTAACCAATAGCAGCACTTTCTCCGAATCGCGTCATCGGTCTGTTGCTCAGGATATCCTGGAGGGAAATCTGAACGGATCTTTGCAGGGAGACCTCCACTTTGTAGCCAGTAAGCTAATGAAAACAATCATGCCTGCAGACACAACCGCTGATGCAGCAGGAAGGAGAGAAATGAATGAAGTGTGGAGAGAAGAACACGAACAATGAACGTCTGTAAAATTCAAATGAGTCTTCATGTGAGGGGGGGTTTAGGGGACATGTAGTCACCCAGCCAACACTGACGAGGTCGGTGGGTAAACTGACTTCTTCTTATCAACAACTATTAGTAAAATCAGTTATTGAAGTTGCATTACACCACTGATTTCTGGCTCAAGCCTTAAAAACAATATTCTTTATATATATATAAACATGTTGCATGTTTTTGAGGCTTCGACTGATTTTTAATTTAGATGGCTGTCTCTTTGTCTTCACTGACAGAAAGCCATTGTTTACACAAGTCTTTGTCCACCACTGCATCATGACGTTCAAGCCTGATATGAGGACTCAATGACTCAGTTTAGGTGGGTCTACTATCTGCTGCATTCTTTATTTTGAAGGAGTCCAGGACAAGCTCTGTTGCACAGCATTTGAAAGCTCATCACCACCTCACCCATTCACTGGTTCCACTTTGTAACATGTTGATAAAATAAATAGCCTCATTTGTGGATTTGCTCAGCTTTAATGCAAACAAGTTCTCTAACTGAATATTTTATTTCCAGCTGCTTTTTTAATGGTAAAGATTCAGGAAGCAAGTTTCTCATTCTTAACCAGCGCTGACATTTCCAGCAACAAATTATATCAGTTGTAGATAATTAATGTTATTTCACACCTAACTTGGCCCAAAATGAAACATGACAAATATCCAGCTGTATCCCAGCATCCTCTCTTCACCAAAGATCTTGGGTGAGTAAATGAAGCAGCACTCTTCAACCACGCGGTGGGACTGTGTGGTTTTGACCAGCAGAGTGATCAAAGTCTTCTTTGGGGAAATGAGGCAGCTGATCGTGACACATCAGTTTCAGTTCACTTTATTTCTCAGATAGAAACATGAAATAAAAACCATTGAGACATTAAACCTTTGGCTTTTACTGTAAATTATTGCCTTTGCCTTGGAAAATGTATATGGCTGGAAAAACAAGCAGTCGTCAACATTCTCAGTTCAGTTCAACTTATTTATGTTCAGTGATTTTGAAAAAAATGTTGATGGACATTACAGTAAAGGCAATCATTTACAAGGTTTGGATGGTGGGTCCAGGTGGGCGGGGCTTGGTGACTGCTTTGTTGTGACATCACAAAGTTCCAGAAGTCCTAAAGTGCTCAGCGAGTTTAGGTGCTTTAATTATTCATTTCAGCTCTTAGGTCCATGTCCTCTGACTGCACCTGTGCTGTCTGTCTGTTGGCAGATTCTGGTTCAGTTTGTGTCTCTACAGTCTTTTCTCCTTCTCCATCAGACTCACAACACAGCGTCTCCCCGGCTGTTAAACGAGTTAAATGGCCTGAAGCTTGTCATGGAGCTCCCAATGGTTTCCTATAAACGCCGTGTTAATGTTATAGACTATTAACAATCCAATAAAAGTCAGAGGGAAAGACTGCCGTTAAAAATAATTTTATGAATCGCTGCCACATTAGATCAATTACAA